CTTATCGCCAGTCTGGGTATTTATATATGAAGTATATGGAAAGATGGAATAATAAAGCGTGTATAGACGTTGTTCTCTCTCCGGTCGTGTCGGATTGTCGTTCCATCGCACTGTAAGAGAATATATATCCTCTCTAGCCAACATTATTATAAAATACACTGATTATATCACAACCGCTCAGAAGGCATACTATTTTAGTGGCATATCCCACAGTCGCATCTTAACAAGGGTATAACCATTTGCCTTTAAGCATGATTATCATTATTATTATTATCAAATTAATATTTCTGCGAATTGCACAATAATAATGGGCAATGCACAGTGCATCTGTCCACTGACCTGTCATCTGACCACTCTGTCCGAATTCACAAAGCGCCAACTCAAGCGAATTAGAAAGCAGATTTAGTAGCAGTACTGCAACACAAATGTGTGGAAGCAGACATGAAGTTATTTAAAGGAGAGATAATACGATTAGTATGTAGCGACATGCATTTTTTGTCATTATTTTAATACGTTTAGTGAAAGGCGTATGCGCCGACGTTCGTGTCAGTTGGGGTCGGCAAAACTTGGCGCCGTTCGCGCTGACTTCGTAGAGTCGTATCATTAAGGGAATAACCATTTCCATTAGTATATAAATTATCTACAGATAATAACAGGCTTCCCCATAGATTGCCTCAAAGGGGGTATATTTGCTATAGTTGCCTCACTTGGTAAAGGTAGTTTGCCTCTTGGTTCTGATTTCCTTTATCGCCTCTTACAAAACTCACAGGATGATTGATATTGGGTACTGGATACACCTCCACTACACCGCCACTACACGGTTAACGAATTAACTTATATGAAAATTATTCACGTTCAGCTTTTATCGATAATAAATCGAACTAATTAGATTCTAGAATGTTAATTCATATTAAACAACTGTTAATTTTCATTTGTAAAACGAGAAGCACTATTATGAAATCGGTAAATAATTTATCATAGATAGCAAACAATACATTTAGTAATGTAAGGTAATATTTCACCCGGAATATGCTGACAATAGGGATTGTTTGAGGTAATTATTTCTACATTTAATGTTATTTACGATTATCCATCCGATATTTGTTTGTATAAAGTTTAATACAAAAATATTCTGTGTATTTTTTATAGAATAAGGGTGACAAACGAGCACATAGTCCTACCTAATGGTGAGTGGATGCTGTTTCCGATAGATATCTACTTCTATCTTCGATAGAGATAACAATCAAAATGCAAATGCGTTGCCACCCCTGAGAACTACGCTAGAATGCCTCGTTTCTAGTAAAAGTGTCTCCGGTTCTCTACACTCACCATAAGAAACATAGCAACGTTAAGGTGCTATTTCACGTTGGTATTCTGTGAAAGCGTGTTCCGACTCATTCATGGTACAATCATTATAAAGTTGCAGCGTGACCCAAATACGTATAACTCTGGGATAAATAGTATATATATATATAACAATAGTAACAAACAAATTAGCAATGCTTCTGAAGATTAAAATAATGAACACAGCTCAGAGATAAAGATTGAATGCTTAATTATTATGACACCATAACTGCTCTCTCACACTTCTTTTATAATTTGAGCTCTGCAGCCCATCTCATACTATGTGGATGATAACTAAAATTATCGTTAACCTTTTATGTAAAATTACGTGTCACCTTGTTTGTCCGCGATGAACTCCAAAGCCACACAACCGACTTTAATAAAGTTTTTAAATGTGTATTGATTGCTCCAACTTGAGAGATACGATAGGTTTTATCCCGACAAGTGACCCGCAATATTTTTATTGAGAATTTAAAGATGATTCAAAGGACAAAGAGTCGTCGGAAAGGGCAGAATAGAGTATGCCTGGCCAGCTAATTAAGAATGAAAATTCAGATGTTTTATCACATTTGAGAAATTATATATAACTCATTGTTACCAGTAAAAAAGATTCTTTTCACACTACACGAAACACGCCTTTATGTTTATATTCCACTCTAGTATTCTTTGATAGCGTGGTGCTCTACCTAAACATGCTCCAGCTGTAATAACATTCAGCTTTTTTATAGCATTGGGCGACTAATGAGCACACAGTCCACCTGATGGTAAGTGGATGCTGTGGTCCATAGACATCCACATTTATCCTCAATTTAGATTCAAAATGCAAATGCGTTGTCACCCAAGATTAAGGTGGAATGCCTCGATTCCAGTGAAAAGGGTCTCCGGTTCTCTGCACTCACCGTTGACAACACAGCAGCATTTCACTGCTATTTTAGGCTGGTATACTGTGAGAGCGTGGTCCTGCCCCGTCGAGCGAGCACAAGTAATATGGCTGCAGCGTGGCTTTACCACGTAAATTACCTTCATTATCAGCTTGATTATTATCTACTAAAGCAAGGTATGTACTTGATATATGTGCATTAGAAAGTTTACACAAGTATATTTTTAGGCGTATTTTATCGAACTGTTATTTAAAGAATCAGCAAAAAATATGACTAGACCAAAAAATTTAAATAATTTCCACACACACGGAAAAAAACTTATGTGTCATCCCTTAACTAGGTAACTTCTTGGAGTGTAATAACCACTTGCAGATACTTGTGGCTTATTGGGTTTAAGTAGTTTAGCGCGTTTCTACAATAATTAATTTTCTTGGTAATCGAAGTTTTTTTAACACTTCTTTATTACTATTTATATATGTACTAGCTGAACTCGGCCGACGTTATTCTGCCAGTTAATATAATAGGTTGTGATCAGCAACATATTCCGATGATATCTCGGACGTCAGTCTAAGCGAGATTAGAATGGCTCTCCAGCACCTTAAAAACGGCAGGTCCCCAGGCGAGAATGGAATTACAGCGGAGCTTCTGAAAGCGGGTGGAACACCGGTACTTGTCCTTCAGAAGCTCTTCAATTCCGTCCTCCATGGTGGCACTACTCCAGAGGCGTGGAGCAAAAGTGCGGTGGTCTTGTTCTTTAAGAAAGGCGACAACGCTCTCTTGAAGAACTACAGACCGATTTCCCTTCTGAGCCGCGTCTACGTGCTGTTTTCGAGAGTCATTACAAATCGTCTCGCACGCAGACTCGACGACTTCCAGCCTCCCGAACAAGCCAGTTTCCGAAAAGGATTCAGTACCATAGACCACATACATACCCTGCGGCAGATTGTACCGAAGACTGAAGAGTACAATCTGCCTGGCGTATGTGGACTATGAGAAAGCCTTTGATTCCGTCGAAATTTGGGCGGTGCTTCCCTTCAGCAGTCCCTTAAGCGGTGCCAAGTTGACTGTCGTTATATCGAAGTGCTGAAGTGTTTGTACAGTAGGGCTACGATGGCTATCCGAGTACAGAACCAGAGCTTGAAACCTATCCAACTGCAGAGAGGTGTAAGACAGGGTGAAGTTATATCACCGAAACTTCACCGCTGCATTGGAAGACGTTTTCAAGCTACTGGACTGGAAAGGATACGGTATTAACACCAATGGCGAGTACATTACTCACCTTCGATTTGCCGACGATATAGTCCTTATGGCAGAATCGCTGGAGGATCTTAGGAACATGGACAAAACAAATATTATGTTTAATGTCCATGTCACACCTATGCCGGTAGTTGTTGGGAGCACTATGCTCGAAGTTGTTGTCGAGTACGTTTACCTGGGACAAATAGTCCGACTAGGTAAGTCCAACTTCGACCGAGAGGTCAATCGACGGATTCAACTCGGCTGTGCAGCTTGCGGGAATTTACGACATATCTTCTCGTCAGGTATACCTCAATCTCTAAAAACTAATTGTACAACCAGTGCGTGTTGCCAGTGATGACTTACGGATCTTAAACGTGGTCCTTCACTGCTGGCCGTATGAGGACGCTCAAGATCACTCTGCGAGCTATGGAGAGGGCTATGCTCGGAGATTCTCTGCGTGATAGACTCAGAAATGAGGATATCCACAGTAAAACCAGAGTAACTGATATAGCCCAAAGGATTAGTAAGCTGAAGTGGCAATGGGCCGGCCATATAGCTCGAAGAACTGATAACCGATTGGGAAGAAAGGTTTTCAAGTGGTAGCCTCGTACCGTTAGGCGTAATGTATATATATATATATATATATATATATATATATATATATGTGTATACCAATTTTCATGGCGGTTGATCAAATAGATTTTGAGTTAAACGATTTCATGTATTCTAACATTCTCATTTATACCTATGTGTATGTATGTATATCGACTTTCCTCTAAAAAAAGTGTCGTAACATAAGAAAAAGTAGAAACACAGATTTAAATACAGTTTTATTAAGTTTTTCATTCTCTATCGATCAATGAAACCGCCACAATTGTAGTACAAAAAAAACTAACTAGGTGGCGTAAGTGACGGTTTTTTACGGAGCGATATTGCGCGCTCCCGCCTCAACAATAGTGACGTATCGGAGCTTGTGTCGTGTGAACGTGTGTCAGTGCTCTTGAAAATCGCCATAAGCTATCTTGTGACCATATTTTGGGTAAGTTTTTTCACAATACTTGTAAATTTAAGAGTGAAAACTGCAGTATCACAATATAGTACTGTTTTTTTCGATCGTAATTTGAAAACATGTCATTTTTCACTCTAAAAAAGTGTCATAACATAGGTTATGATACTATTTCACTCAACATTGTATTATATTTTTATGTTTTAACTGGGTAAAAAACAGTTGTATTTTGTTTTGTGGTACCTTTTTTATAATTGTTTTGCAAAATTTAGTTACCGAATGTTTATAAAAGTAGCCTTGAATAGGTTATGACTGTTTTTTTATATTTTTTTTATTCTACTTTGAACTAACGGGTACTACAATTTTGTCACATCAATATGTTATGGCCGTTTTGAACTGATTTTAGTATTACTCTTTACTGTAGTGCTACATAACTTTATTGTATAATTTACCTACATTAACATCAATACTTACAGAAATGTTGATGTTCTGTTCATATTAAACTTGTATTTATTTATTTCAGAATAAAAATGTGTGACAGATTTAAGGATAGCACAGGCAAAAAGTTACTACAACTTTTAAATTCTGAAAGTGATGAAAATAAAGAAAATTGTGACCGCAATCTAATCAAAGGTAAATTTAACTAGCTGCACGACTTAATTAATAATTAATATGTTATGTAGGTGGTAACAATTGTTCTAATAAGTATGTTTATGGTGAGTTTATTTTTTTTATTTTTTTTACAGAAGATTCCGAGGAGATAGTACACAATAATATTCCTAAGGATGATAATACCAAAGAATGTTTCAGTAAGTTATTTATATAAACTTTTAATGTTAACTTTAATTTGAAAGTTATTATTATTGCTTAGTTTATGAATTTGTTTTATTTCAGAAAATTCAGATAATGTTACAACTTTTGAAGCTTGGAAAGAAGCTCAGCCTATTGCCCATTGCAGTTACAATCCGCCTGAAAATAAATCTTCATTTACCGAGCCACCACCCGCTGCTTATGAATCGTATTCGGAAGATGACGATGATTCAGTAAAAGATCCTCACTACAAGTCTAGTTCCTCCAGTAGGTCATCTAGTTCTTCTAGCAGTTCTTCGAGCACTTCTACGTCAACTGCGATAACGAACAATGTACAAGTATTACCAACTAACGGTCAAGTGGAACCAGTCTCGATCCAGACTTCTGCTGAAACAAATAACGAAGAAATACAAGAAGCAGTACAAAATGAGAATGAATCAATAAACCAAGATGAAATAGTCGATCAGAATATTTCCATGAACGAAATAGAAGAAAATAGTAATGTTAAGAAAAGTAGAAAGCGCGTTGCAAGGGTTGAAGAGTGGCTTAGTAATAAAGCGAAAAAATTACGAAATACTGGCAAATGTTACATTTCCAGATCTAAAACCAAGAAAATTATACCGGCACGTTCTTTGAAACCACCTTGTGGCGATAAATGCAAAATGCAATGTTCTACTAAAATTGACGAGGACTGCAGGAAGAAGATTTTTGCTAAATATTGGGGCTTAGATAGATAGATAGATAGATAATTCTTTATTGTACACCAAATCAATACATAAACGAAAGAAGAAGAAAAAAAATAGTGTCACAATGGGCGGTCTTATCGCTAAAAGCGATTTCTTCCAGACAACCTTTGGATGGACAGGATCGCAAAAAATAGTAAATTGTGTGGTTTGGTGATGCAGAAACAATATTTATAAAAATATCCTTATTTTATATAATATAATTAGAAATAAACAACAAATAAATACAAAAAAAAATACGAATGTATACTACATATATAAATGGCACGAACTCAAAGATTAAGATAGTGACTGTGTACAAGTTTCTGAAAAACAGGTAAAGACTGGGCGCGTCTCACTGACAGAGGTAGGGCATTCCATAGACGGACTGCTTGGATACTAAACGACTTGTCCATAAATTTGCTATTATGGGCAGGCATTTTTAATGTAAAATTCTCTGATGATCTCAAAACTTTCGAATGGGAATAGTGAAGGAATTCAAAACGATCCTTAAGATAAGAAGGATAGGAAGGATTAAAGAGAACATTGTAAAGAAGTGACAGAATATGAGCATTCCGGCGAAGACGGATAGGAAGCCACTTGAGCTTATTACGAAAACAAGATACGTGATCATATTTGCGCAAACCAAATATGAATCTTATACAAAAGTTTTGAAGACGCTCAAGTTTATCAAGTTGCTTCTCATTGAGATCGAGATAGCTGACATCTGCATAGTCCACAATTGGGAGAAGAAGAGATTGAGCAAGCGCAATTTTAGTGGCAGTAGGTAGAAAATTCCTTAATCTGTTCAACGATCGGGCAGCTGCAAAGAGTTTACGACTAACCTCCTGTATTTGAGGACCCCATGATAGGTTACTGTCAATATAAATTCCCAAGTCCTTGACTTTTTCACTCACAGGAATAAAATTTCCATTAAAAACAACTTGAGGTGCTTGAGATATGTTAGATTTTCCAATCATATACGAACTTCCGATGATAATTACCTGAGTCTTTAGGGGGTTAATCTTCAAGCCATATGTTTTTGCCCAATCTGATATTTGCTCAAGATCACTGTTTATGTTGCTAATAGCTACATCTACTTCACTAGGAGAAACATGAGTATATATTTGAAGATCATCTGCGTAAAGGTGGTAGGACGAAGTAATCTTAGTGGCTATAGAATTAATAAAAATTGAGAAAAGTAAGGGAGATAATACGCCACCCTGCGGGACGCCAGCAATGGTATCACACCAAGAAGAAAATGTGTCATCAGTGCGAATACGTTGCCGGCGCCCAGACAGGTAACTTCGAAACCAATCAATCACTGTTGGAGATATGTTAAGAGAGCTAAGTATACCCAGTAAAATTTCAAAATCAACTGAGTTAAAGGCATTGCTAAAATCTAACAGAGAAAGGATAGTTAACTTGCCATTTTCCATTGCAGATCTAATATCTTCCGTAATATTGACTAAGGCTGTAGCAGTACTATGCCCAGGGCGAAAACCGGATTGTAGAGGATTTAGAAGGGAATGATTGTGGAGGAAAGCATTGAGCTGATTATATATCAAGCGTTCGAGAACTTTGGACAGGAATGGCAAAATGGATATAGGACGATATTCCGAAAAAGATGTAGGGTTAGGTTTTTTAGGCAACTGTATGATGTGAGCGTCTTTCCAAGTTGTTGGAAAAACACCACTAGAAATCGAGGAGTTTAGGATATGGCAAAGTATTGGGATGATTATGTCAAGAATCGGAAGGATCATATTACGGCTGATACAATCGCTACCGATTGCATTCGAAGTAATGGATAGAGTACTCTTCTTAACATCACAAGCAGTAAATTGATTTAGGACAAAAGATGGATGATCAGGAGTTGGAAGCGATGAAAGAAAATTTAATGTGTTAAATTTTGTAGTCCCATTTAAGTTGGACGAGGATGAGAAGAACTGATTTAGTAAATCAATATTTAAATCTTTAGAGAGTACATTATTACGAGACTTTCCAACCCCCATTGATCTAAGAAAACTCCAGACTTTAGCCGCATCACCAATTTGTACTGATTTATGGATATAGTGGCGTTGAGCATCCCTACATACCCTATTGCAGTGATTTCGAATAGTGACATATTTTTCCCAGTTTATAGATGTAGGCCTACATTTATATTTTGTCTTGGCTGCAGCTTTTTTATTTAAAATGGATTTTATTTCATCAGTCAGCCATGGTGAAGGGCGATGTCTCATTTTAATTACGCGAACTGGTGCATGTTTATCATAAAGACAGGTGAGGTAAGTCGTAAATATTGCAACTTTATCGTCAACTGATTCTGCATTTAAAACGGCTGACCAATCAATGTTGGAAGCATCTTCGCAAAGATTTTGTATATTCATACCACCAAAACTGCGTTGCAGAAGAAACTTAGACTTAATTTTAGGTGGCCGGACATTATAAGAGAGAAATATAAGATCGTGGTAAGAGAAGGCATCCGCTGAACACTGACCATGCTTAACAGCGAGTTCAGAAGAGGACACAAAGATAAGATCGAGCAATGACGGAGTAGCATTAGGAAAGTGATGAGTAGAATTTAAAGGTAAAATAGAGAGATTAGTGGAATTTACTATAGATCGAAGAGAGGATGAACGTGAGTCTTGTTTAAGCAGACAAGTATTAAAGTCGCCCATAATGATCGTGTGCGAATAAGAGGATACATTTTCTAAAATATTTTCGAAGGAAGTGAAGAAGTCAATTCGCGATGAAGGACAGTAATATACCCCCAGCAAAATTTTCGTGTGACTAAGCTTCACCTCAATAAAAAGATGTTCACCTGCATTAAGCGGAGTTGGTTGAGATGACATATCAACAACAGAAAAGGGAATATACGCACGGAGATATATTGCCACACCTCCACCACCGCCAACAGTACGATCATTTCTTATGAGGTGAAAGCCAGGTAAAGAATAATTTGTGGAAGGAAGACAAGGCTTAAGCCATGACTCAGAAACAAGAATAGCATGAATATTCTTAGAATCAAAGGTAGCCAGCATATCTGAAAAGTGAGCCGGAATGCTTTGGGCATTAATGTGAACGACGTTGAAATTATTGGGAACATCAGAAAATTGTGAAGCTAGTATTTCAGAGAGAGGCTGTAAGCTAGGGATATTGCCATCATCACTAACTGCAGTTTCAGTATTACTACTAATGTCTAAGAATGACATTACAAAATAACTATTAATGTTTATATGTGAAAAATATAACGTACAATAAGTAAAATACAATTAAAAAATAAGGTAATAAATTTCCTAAAACTAAGAACAAAAAAAAACGAATAAAAATAAAATAAAAAAAGTATTTTAGTGTCCACCTGCCAGTTGAGTGTTTTTATAAATACAGTTTAAGTACAATATCTTACGACACTTTACTACTAAATAGAAAATAAAAAAGAGGATTAATAATATCAAGGGTTAAGTAAAAGAAAGAAAAAAAAATTCAATAAGTGCACAAAACAAACACCGTTATGGGAAACGCAACTGACAATGCGTTTGTTAACATTACGTTGTCGTTAAAGCGCTACATAACCTTATAATTGTGATATTAGTGTTAACATCATCTGTGGTATAACGTAGTATTCGCAACACAAACTAATAAGAGTACTATAATAACGTACACAACAATGGCTCAGAAGGGCTGGAACCCAGAACCGTGAAGCCAGTTAAATAAAAATAAAAAAGTCACAACAATAATGTACAGAATACTTTTACTCCTAGCAGATTTAAGATAATGTTACACATTGTCAATAAGTAATGATAATGTTTCGCATTGTCAGTTAGTAATAATAATGTTTCACATTGTCAATTTGTAAACATTTTTATGGTATAATAAATGGAAAGTAGGGTTAATAATTATTATGCTTATTATATGTAGATTCAATGGTTAAAAAAATTGCACAAAACATAAGGTATAGTCTACATACGTCCCACTGCTGGGCACAGGCCTCCCTATATTGATGATGATGAGAGGGTTTTGCACTAGCTTATAACACATTCACAAAGAAATAAGTCTCACAAGATATTTATTGTAATTGTAAAGCATTAAAAAAAAATGGCATTTAGGCACGGCAAATAACGGTACACTTAACACTTAACACTTCTTCACAACGGCGTTTCGCTTGGGCCTCCCAGCTGTAGTTTTCGTTACTGGTTTTGGGCTTGTCTGGCAATCGATTTTGCTGATGTCGTTCAGACAGGTAACACGATGTCTGGTTCCATCAGGTTTCACAATGTATACAGATCCATCTTTGGTCCAGCATTTGGAGATACCAAATTTTTCACGGGCAGCTACAAAGAGATCATGCCGAAGCTTGGTGAGAAATTCGGATACTGTGGTACCAGAGCCTTTAAGTTGGGATTTTGCGTACCAGACTTTATCACGCAACCCTACATCTAGGAATTTCACTAAAATTGGCCGAGGCTTGTGAGGAGCTGTTGGTCTACCCAATCTGTGACAACGCTTAATATCACTGACAGAGACGTTGTCTAATTTCAACTGATTTTGGAGAACATTGGTGACAGCCAAAGCGGTGTCTTCTTTTGCAATCTCTGGTACACCATGAAGCAGTAACATTTTCCTTCGGCTTCGTATTTCCATGCTGTCAGCATTACGAGCAAGTAATTCCATCTGCTGCTGAAGACTGTTTAGTGCCTGCCCTACAAATATCTTGAAAGATGCAAACTCAGCTACCAAAGAAGTAGTACTGGTGGATGTGCTGGGCGTTTTCCGCAATTCTTCTTCAAAATCATTCATCCTTTTATGAAACACCTCCATCAAACTGGACATAGTGTTTTTAATTGTAGGGTCCATGGTATAATGAAGAATTGACAGAGGTTATAAAAGTAAAAAGTGTTGTAATTGTGGTTGGATTAAGTAGTAAACACTCACAGACAGGTAGTTCAAGCTAATTTTTCATTACTAGATCTTGAAATATAATATTTTACGAATTATGTATTTATTTTAATTATAAC